GGCCAGTCAGGATGGTGTCTGGAAAGCCCATCCTTCCCACTGTCAGCTGCCTGCCCCCAAGGGCGCCAACCTGCATCCACACGGCTTCCCCGGGGCCTCACATCACTGGGGGACATCAGGAACCCATCTTCCCTGGATGGCCCCTGGCTGTGGGAGGTGGGGAGTTCTGTTTCTAGGCCGGAGCTTCTCACAACCACGCATCCCAGACAAGCCCCAGATCTCACTGTGTGTCTTGCTTGGTGTTGGGCGAGCTGACCTGAAGCAGGGCACCAACTCCTCAAGTTGCCAGCAGGAGGCTGAGGGAGGCAGGCAGGAGGAGACCCTGGTGCAGAGCTCTGCCTTCCTTCTGGATTCCCACGGGCAGGCGCACAGGTCCTGTGACCTATGATGGGAGCATCTGCATGTTCCCACAGTGAGACTCATTTTAGATGAAGCTGACCCCCTAGCACTGGACCCGACCACACCACCGTCTGAACACCCAAGGGCAGAGATGACTTGGTATCTGGAGACCCAGCTCTGTGTCCAGTGTCACCCCCCAGTAACCTGGAGACAGCCACGACAGACCCCCAAACCACTGGGGAATGTCCACACTGGCCGATTGGTCCCAGCTTCTGGCCAGAGCAGACACCCCTTGGAGGAGGGAGGGAGTGAGAGAGGCAGTCCACAGAGTCTGACAAACTCCACGTCCTGGGGGCTGTTGGGCGAGTGAACGTTTGCTTCCCAGGGTGGCCCTGGACTCCATCGGGACCCTGTGGTTCCAGTTCCTCAGGGCTGTCTGTCCTGGTGTGCTCCTGTAGGGTTGCGTCTACATGGGCCCTGGGGCTTTTCGAGGGGCGGCTCAGGCAGCATTGCCTGGACTGTGGTGGCAGGAGCCCAGTGTCCAGCAGAGAGGGCCCTCACCAGGCGGCCTGGGCCTTGGTGGGCCCCACGCCTGAGCCTGCATCCAGCATGTCTGTCCTGAGCTCCACTGTCCCCACGCAGTTTTCTCTTTCAGTGGACCATAGCATTCCTGTGGACATGACTGCAGACTAGGGCAGCTCAGGTTCCCCAGAGCAGAGGCCTGGATGGGACTGTAACAGCAAAGATCCATGTAGGCAGGTGGGAGGAGTTAGACGAGGTGGGGAGGGGAGAGAAGGGGTAGATGTGGGGGAATGGGAGGGGGATTGCCCATGAAGATGACTAGGAGGGAGGAGGCAAGGGGGAGCCTCCAGCATGTGCAGCAGCTGGAGGCTGTCGACCAGCCGTGCTTCACACCAGGCCTCCCCTGAGGCGACCTGTGGGGCCACCACAGATCTCTGTTACAGGGTGGAACTATGAAACTGACCTCTGCACTGGCACAGTTCACAACTAAGAGGACGGAAGAGATGGCATTTCACTGCAGTAGGTGGCGCAAGCCTGGCCGGGGAGCGCAGGCAAATGAGGCGGCTTCCCAGAGGAGGTGGGTCCCAGGCGCTAGCAGGGGATTTGGCCCTCCGCCCAGCCAGCCACACAGTGCAGCCTGCTGGACCCTGGACCTGCACTCTGCAGAGCAGAGCTGAGGATGCAGGCGGGAGCCCGGGCCAGGAAGCCTGACTTATCCACACCCGGTGGGCACCTGTGGAACCCACCGCTTCTGGGGCTCCAGAAGGTGACGGACCCGCTGGCTTCACACAAGAGGCGCAGGCGGGGATCCAGCCCAGCTCTGTCACATCTGAGAGTTGTACCTGCTGCCACCGCCGGCTGCAACTTCTGATGCAGGGGGCGATCTCTGGTGCAGCCGCCAGGGGCGTAGGGCCAGGCCATGGGGACCCCACAGTGGACCCTGAGCCTCGAGGGAGAAGGGGGCAGATCAAAAGGTGAGAAACTCAGGCACGAGGGAGAAACAGGACAGATAAAGAGGTGCGACCCGAGGCCTCCCGGGATAAAAGGAACAGATCAGGAGGTGAGAACCCCGGGCATCGAGGGAGAAACGGGACAGATAGGAGGCGAAGCCCCGGGCCTCGAGGGGGAAATGGAACAGCCCCCGCCTGCAGTGGAGAAGCATCTCCCTCTCGAGACAGAGACCTTTGACCCAGCTCAGAGCCGTCCTATTGGCCGGCGGGGAGCAAGGCTTCTGGAGTGGAAGCTCTTTCCTCCTCTAGACCCCTGGGCGATGCCCCTCCTATCTTGGGTCTGCCCAGTCACCTCTCCAAGCCCCATTTCTGTGTCGCCTCCTCACACAGGCCACACCGTGGCCTGGGCGGAGACCTGGGCGTCGCTGTCGCCCCGCGGGGACCGGGGGTGGACGGGGGAGAGAAAGTCCAGCTCCGGGGCGTCCCTGGAGGCCACCTCTCCACCTGGGGCTGGGCTGGAGCAGCCCTGGCGGGGGAGCTCCCGGCGCCCGCGGAGCAGGAAGCGGGAGTTGCAGACGGGGCGCGGGTCGGGGGCCCGGGCGGAGGCGGAGAGGAGCACTGTGGGGGCGGCTCGCGGGGCTCCGCCCTCGTGCTCGTCCCGCCTCCGCGCGGCGCAGGCGCGTTCCAGGCCCGGATCCCGGAGTCCCTCTGTGTCCCCACCCCCCGGTCCGGCGGGCGGGAGGGGAGGGGGAGGTCGAGGTCGCGCGGGCCGCGCTGGGGTCAGACGAGCTGTCGCCGCCAGGGAACGGAAAGAGCGGACGAGCCGGGGGGTCGGGACAGGAGCCGAGGCGGGCCCGGAGCGAGCGCACGCGCAGCGGCGGCCCCGCGCGCGTAGAGTGAGACCCCCCTCCTCGCGTCCTTCCCCGCCCCCTCGGCCAGCCTGCGGCTCTGCGCCGGCCACCCACGACGTTGGCCTGGGAGCTTTCCCCGAGCAGAGGCGGGCCGGCGGCCCCCGCTCCCAGCCAGCCGCGGAGTCTCGGGCTGGACCAGAGGACAGTGACCCCTCGAATCAGTGCCTCGTCCTCCAGGATGGACGTCCGCGGCCCAAGGCCCCATGTTGCTGAGGCTGGCTGTGTGCCGCTTCTCCCTTCTAACCTGAAGTCATTTTACACGTTGGAAAACGGGGCAGGACAGTGGTAGACATGACAGGTTTAAAGTTCAAACCTACAAGTCAGCATGTGTCTAATGCTTTGTGTCCATTGTAGTGACAGGTACACACATGCACACACCAGACGGCATGGCACCCGCACCGCTGTGCTCACGGCACACGTACACATGGCACGTGTGCACATGCCATCTCCACACACAGCACACATGCACGTTGCGTACGCGCACATGTACACGCTGCACACAGGCACATGCCAAACTACACAGGCACTACACACACACATTGCACGCAGGCACACGCCAACTCCACAGAGACACTGCACACGCACACTACACAGGTGCACGCGCACAGTGCTGAACACGCACTGGCCGTGGAGCCTGCTTTGGGAGCTTCCCTACGCAGAGAAATGCTGGCTGGGTTTGAAATCGGGTACAATTAACATTTTTAAAGCATTTGAGTTTTTAAAGTGTCAAGCCGAGCCTGGCTCGGTGGCTTAGCCTGTAATCCCGCACTTTGGGAGGCTGAGGTGAGTGGATTGCCTGAGCCTGCGGGTTCGAGACCCGCCTGGCCAACTAGGCGAGCCCTCATCGCTACAATAAAAAATTTTTTAAAAATTAGCTGGGTGTGGTAGCGCGCATCTGTAGTTCCAGCTACTTGGAAGGCTTAGGCGGAAGGATCGCCCGAGCCCAGCAGGCCGAGGCTGCAGTGACCGGGAGCAGCCACTGCACTCCAGTCTGGGTGACAGAGCGAGACTCCAACTCAAAAAAATAAAATAAAATAAGTGTCAAGTCAGGCGCGGTGACTCACTCCTATAATCCCAGCACTTTGGGAGGCCGAGGTGAGAGGATTGCCAGAGCCTGCGGGTTTGAGATCAGCCTGGGCAACTTGGCGAGACCTCATCTCTACGATAAATAAAAAAAAATTAGCCGGGTATGGTGGCGTGTGCCTGTAGTTCCAGCTACTTGGAAGGCGGAGGTGAAAGGATCACCTGATCCCAGCAGGTGAAGGTTGCGATGGTCTGGAGCGTGTCACTGCCTTCCAGCCTGGGTCACAGAGTGAAACTCCAATTCAAAAAAGAAAAAAGTGTCTTCAGCGTCTCAAAAAAAACAACAAAAAACCCCAGCCTGGCTTGGTGGCTCAAGCCTGTAATCCCAGCACTTTGGGAGGCGGAGGATTGCCTGAGCAACGTGGAGAGACCTCATCTCTACAATAAATCAATAACAGGGCGCGGTCGCACATGCCTGTGGTTCCAGCTACTTGGAAGGCTGAGGCGGAGGGATCGCTTGAGTCCAGCACATTAAGGCTGCGGTGACCGTGAACGTGGCACTGCACGCCAGCCTGGGCGACAGAGTGCGACTCCGACTCAAAAAAAAGAAAATCTATGATACGGGTTTTTTCCTCTTTATTTTAAAAATGTGAGCTGCAAGATATGAGTTTTTGAACTGATTTCATGGCTTTTTAAAAAGGAATCCTGCTGAAGTCAAGGCGAGTCGAATTACTTGGCTTCTGAGCGCCTGTTTTCGGCGACACGGGGTGTTTTGCTGTCCCCACCCTGCCCTCTCGGCCTGGGCGAGCCACGCGCCGCGCTCGCCTCCGAGCACGCGGCGCCCGCAGGACGGGTGCTGGTCCCCTGGTGACTGCGGCCCGGGGGCAGGGGAGCACGCCCCGCCCTTGG